ACCCCCCAGCCTCCCTCTAACCCCCCAGCCTCCCTCTAACCCCCCAGCCTCCCTCTAACCCCCCAGCCTCCCTCTAACCCCCCCTCCCTCTAACCCCCCAGCCTCCCTCTAACCCCCCAGCCTCCCTCTAACCCCCCAGCCTCCCTCTAACCCCCCAGCCTCCCTCTAACCCCCCAGCCTCCCTCTAACCCCCCAGCCTCCCTCTAACCCCCCAGCCTCCCTCTAACCCCCCAGCCTCCCTCTAACCCCCCAGCCTCCCTCTAACCCCCCAGCCTCCCTCTAACCCCCCTCCCTCTAGCCTCCCTCTAGCCTCCCTCTAACCCCCCAGCCTCCCTCCCCCAGCCTAACCCCCCAGCCTCCCTCTAACCCCCCAGCCTCCCTCTAACCCCCCTCTAACCCCCCAGCCTCCCTCTAACCCCCCAGCCTCCCTCTAACCCCCCAGCCTCCCTCTAACCCCCCAGCCTCCCTCTAACCCCCCAGCCTCCCTCTAACCCCCCAGCCTCCCTCTAACCCCCCAGCCTCCCTCTAACCCCCCAGCCTCCCTCTAACCCCCCAGCCTCCCTCTAACCCCCCAGCCTCCCTCTAACCCCCCAGCCTCCCTCTAACCCCCCAGCCTCCCTCTAACCCCCCAGCCTCCCTCTAACCCCCCAGCCTCCCTCTAACCCCCCAGCCTCCCTCTAACCCCTAGCCTCCCGCTAACCCCCCAGCCTCCCTCTAACCCCCCAGCCTCCCTCTAACCCCCCCTCCCTCTAGCCTCCCCCCCAGCCTCTAACCCCCCAGCCTCCCTCTAACCCCCCAGCCTCCCTCTAACCCCCCAGCCTCCCTCTAACCCCCCAGCCTCCCTCTAACCCCCCAGCCTCCCTCTAACCCCCCAGCCTCCCTCTAACCCCCCAGCCTCCCTCTAACCCCCCAGCCTCCCTCTAACCCCCCAGCCTCCCTCTAACCCCCCAGCCTCCCTCTAACCCCCCAGCCTCCCTCTAACCCCCCAGCCTCCCTCTAACCCCCCAGCCTCCCTCTAACCCCCCAGCCTCCCTCTAACCCCCCAGCCTCCCTCTAACCCCCCAGCCCCTCTAACCCCCAGCCTCCCTCTAACCCCCCAGCCTCCCTCTAACCCCCCAGCCTCCCTCTAACCCTCTAGCCTCCCTCTAACCCCCCAGCCTCCCTCTAACCCCCCAGCCTCCCTCTAACCCCCCAGCATCCCGCTAACCCCCCAGCCTCCCTCTAACCCTCTAGCCTCCCTCTAGCCCCCCAGCCTCCCTCTAACCCCCCAGCCTCCCTCTAACCCCCCAGCCTCCCTCAAACCCCCAGCCTCCCTCTAACCCCCAGCCTCCCTCTAACCCCCCAGCCTCCCTCTAACCCCCCAGCCTCCCTCTAACCCCCCAGCCTCCCTCTAACCCTCTAGCCTCCCTCTAACCCCCCAGCCTCCCTCTAACCCCCAACCTCCCTCTAACCCCCCAGCCTCCATCTAACCCCCCAGCCTCCCTCTAACACCCCAGCCTCCCTCTAACCCCCCAGCCTCGCTCTAACCCCCAGCCTCCCTCTAACCCCCCAGCCTCCCTCTAACCCCCCAGCCTCCCTCTAACCCCCCAGCCTCCCTCTAACCCCCCAGCCTCCCTCTAACCCCCCAGCCTCCCTCTAACCCCCCAGCTTCCCTCTAACCCCCCAGCCTTCCTCTAACCCCCCAGCCTCCCTCTAACCCCCCAGCCTCCCTCTAACCCCCCAGCCTCCCTCTAACCCCCCAGCCTCCCTCTAACCCCCAGCCTCCCTCTAAGCCCCCAGCCTCCCTCTAACCCCCCAGCCTCCCTCTAACCCCCCAGCCTCCCTCTAACCCCCCAGCCTCCCTCTAACCCCCCAGCCTCCCTCTAACCCTCTAGCCTCCCTCTAACCCCCCAGCCTCCCTCTAAGCCCCCAGCCTCCCTCTAACCCCCCAGCCTCCCTCTAACCCCCCAGCCTCCCTCTAACCCTCTAGCCTCCCTCTAACCCCCCAGCCTCCCTCTAACCCCCCAACCTCCCTCTAACCCCCCAGCCTCCCTCTAACCCCCCAGCCTCCCTCTAACACCCCAGCCTCCCTCTAACCCCCCAGCCTCCCTCTAACCCCCCCAGCCTCCCTCTAACCCCCCAGCCTCCCTCTAACCCCCCAGCCTCCCTCTAACCCCCCAGCCTCCCTCTAACCCCCCAGCCTCCCTCTAACCCCCCAGCCTCCCTCTAACCCCCCAGCCTCCCTCTAACCCCCCAGCCTCCCTCTAACCCTCTAGCCTCCCGCTAACCCCCCAGCCTCCCTCTAACCCCCCAGCCTCCCTCTAACCCCCCAGCCTCCCTCTAACCCCCCAGCCTCCCTCTAACCCCCCAGCCTCCCTCTAACCCTCGAGCCTCCCGCTAACCCCCCAGCCTCCCTCTAACCCCCCAGCCTCCCTCTAACCCCCCAGCCTCCCTCTAACCCCCCAGCCTCCCTCTAACCCCCCAGCCTCCCTCTAACCCCCCAGCCTCCCTCTAACCCCCCAGCCTCCCTCTAACCCCCCAGCCTCCCTCTAACCCTCTAGCCTCCCTCTAACCCCCCAGCCTCCCTCTAACCCCCCAGCCTCCCTCTAACCCTCCAGCCCCCTCTAACCCCCAGCCTCCCTCTAACCCCCCCAGCCTCCCTCTAACCCCCCAGCCTCCCTCTAACCCCCCAGCCTCCCTCTAACCCCCCAGCCTCCCTCTAACCCCCCAGCCTCCCTCTAACCCTCTAGCCTCCCTCTAACCCCCCAGCCTCCCTCTAACCCCCCAGCCTCCCTCTAACCCTCTAGCCTCCCTCTAACCCCCCAGCCTCCCTCTAACCCCCCAGCCTCCCTTTAACTACCAGCCTCTACCAGGTGTAGAAATTATTAGCCTATGAATATAGTGGTTAGCATCCAGCTGAGATGCTAAATGGATGAATTGCGGTGCGACATTTGGATGGCTATTTGACGGATGTGAAAACAGTTCACAAGCCTATGAACACAGCTACTAATCCGCTGAGCTGCCATGTGTACGGTAACTACTTGTGGATTATAGTACGATATCTAGCTACAGCGTTTCATAATTGCTGTTGCATATAAAACTGGAATGTGCGTTAATTATTATAAACCATTATTTTAAACTAATATTGGAAGTGGGGGGGGGGTTCCCTTGATTGTTATAAGCATAGGTTGGACATGTATATGAATGACATTGGGTGGAAATATATAGGCGCTGCCTCATATGGGCTAATAGGCCTTCTGCAGTTACCTTCATTCTTATGGTCAGCTCACCCCTATGCTGCCAGACGTACAATTCTGCTTAAATTGCCGTACAACATTTGGGTAACTATTTTAGTTTTTTGAACTTATCAGTGTATAATGATTAGAGTTGTGGATGACGAAAATGCATATTATGAAATCTCTGATTAGGTTAAGCAGGGATGGATAGTCTAGCCATTTTGAATAATAACATTTAACATACTACATATGCAAGTACAATGCCAAAGGCAGCATTGGCCATCTGGTGACGTCACACCATTTTGAAAAGTCAGGTTACTGTGGTGCCTTAACACTTATGCTAATGGCTAACAATATCCTATCCCTATACTAGACAACTTTTTGTGACGTCGCTAAAACAACAACAACGGGTCTGTAGAAATGTATATTTTTTATGTTTTATAATAGGTTAGGTTAGGAGGGTTTGTTCGAGCTTATGAATTAAATAACAGAAAAATGTGAGCAATGAGCGAAAAAATACGAGCATCAGAGCCGGTGATGAAACACAGAGTACAGTTGAGGTATTGAGAGCGATTATGAGATTGCACTAATGTGTGAACCTCCTAGGAACCGCATGTAGAACGTCGGCTAGAAGCTGTGCACTCATTGGTGGATCACACCGCATTAGGGATGTCAGAATGAAGGTAACTGCAGAAGGCCTTATTTCAAAACACGTGAAGCTGCTTTTTTACTCAATGTAGTTCATATTTTTGTACACCATTTTTCATTTGTTATATGCTTCAGTGAGGTGTGGGAGGCAAGCTTTTGATCAAATGTGAGACATGCACAAGGCTAGCAGCAATATTTGGATTACTACTGAATCCCATAATGACGTCACCATGCCTGGGAGGGGGATCTGTTTTCACACAAATGACTGACAGCGGGTTTTTCAGTTTTTATTTGTCTTATGCTCGATAAGCAATCATTGAAGAAAGATTGACAAAGCTTACATTACATTCTATAGAAAAGCGACGAAATAGGGGGTAACACGATAGAGGTGTTGGAGAATGGACATTACAAAGGGGGGATATTAATAGGCTATTAAACGTATCAACACGAGATAGAATACGAAACCATGAGTATAAATTGGATTAGTTTTAGATATAGGAAAAGACCTGGGTAAATACTGGTTTGGTAACAGGGGTGAACGCTGAGATATATGTTAGTTCATACTCTGTGTTGCTCCCCTTTGTTTCACACGAAATTGATAGTGGATTTCTTTAATTTCTATGCTCAATAAACGATCCTTTGCTATACACTATATATATATAAACTTCCAGATAAGTATGCATCGGGAATAAATACACAATAACAGAAAACAGTCTTATACAAGGAAGATGAAGACTGGGTGACGTTATTAACCATTAGCGATGTCTGTGCAAAGATCAGCGGGGTACCGAAAAAGATAGGCCCCAAGATGGGGCCTTTTCATCCATTTGAGCGAAAATTTCGGGTAGTAGAAGCAATCACTAGCCAGGGGTAATGAAAAAGATAGAGCCCAAGTTGGGGCTCTTGCCATTTGTAACGTAAAAAAAAACCCTACGCCAAGTTTGGGCCGTTAGGAAAATATAGAAAAAACCCATGCCCCAAGTCGGGGCCGTCGGTAAAGCAAAACGGCCTTTACTTGGGGCCTTTCCCACTATTGGGGGCTGGGCGCGGGTTGGGCTGGGGCTGGGCTGGGGATGGGCGGAGGCTGGAGCGAGTGAAAGTAAGAGAGCCGCTTGGGCATTAGTGACAACAACTAACCTGGACCACCAAGGTGGCGGAGACGTCCACGGCGCCAGACGCCAGCATGGAGGAGGAGGCTGTGACATCACCCGTCAGAGATGCGACTGCCAGCCGTCTCAAGGAGTACACTCCCAAACTGCAAGACAACACAGTTTAGTCGTTCAAGTCGCCACATCAACTATAACAACTTGATATCAAAGGTCAACACACACTTACTCAACATGAGAGTTATGGGAAACGTCTTGAGAGTGAAGGAAGACGAGTGAAGGCTCCAGTGTGAAGGGAGCCTAGGAGACAACTCTCCCTTATGCTCCAAGTCTGTCTGCTGGAGATGACCAGCGTCTCCACAGTCACTCTCCTCGTGCTTACTGTACATCACAATATATTACATGCCAATTCTGAATATTTATTAATAGCTAACTGGAAAACCATAGGAATCATCTCCTAACAACCGAATTCATGGTAAAAACCACGTGAATATCATAATTCTTCCTAGTAGTTGTTTAATAAACATGAACAGGATCCATAACATGAGGCAAACTATCAACAACGGTATTGATTTGTCGAAATCATTGACATATGAGACACACTAATGTGAAGGGTGGTGCCAGGCGTCACACTAATGTGAAGGGTGGTGCCAGGCGTCACACTAATGTGAAGGGTGGTGCCAGGCGTCACACTAATGTGAAGGGTGGTGCCAGGCGTCACACTAATGTGAAGAGAGGTGCCAGGCGTCACACTAATGTGAAGGGTGGTGCCAGGCGTCACACTAATGTGAAGGGTGGTGCCAGGCGTCACACTAATGTGAAGGGTGGTGCCAGGCGTCACACTAATGTGAAGGGTGGTGCCAGGCGTCACACTAATGTGAAGGGAGGTGCCAGGCGTCACACTAATGTGAAGGGAGGGTGTCAGGCGTCACACTAATGGCAAGGGTGGTGCCAGGCGTCACACTAATGTGAAGGGTGGTGCTAGGCGTCACACTAATGTGAAGGGTGGTGCCAGGCGTCACACTAATGGCAAGGGTGGTGCCAGGCGTCACACTAATGTGAAGGGAGGTGCCAGGCGTCACACTAATGGGAAGGGAGGTGCCAGGCGTCACACTAATGTGAAGAGAGGTGCCAGGCGTCACACTAATGGCAAGGGTGGTGCCAGGCGTCACACTAATGGAAAGGGTGGTGCCAGGCGTCACACTAATGTGAAGGGGTGGTGCCAGGTGTCACACTAATGTGAAGGGAGGTGCCAGGCGTCACACTAATGGCAAGGGTGGTGCCAGACGTCACACTAATGGCAAGGGTGGTGCCAGGCGTCACACTAATGTGAAGGGTGGTACCAGGCGTCACACTAATGTGAAGGGTGGTGTCAGGCGTCACACTAATGGCAAGGGTGGTGCCAGGCGTCACACTAATGTGAAGGGTGGTGCCAGGCGTCACACTAATGTGAAGGGTGGTGCCAGGCGTCACACTAATGTGAAGGGAGGTGTCAGGCGTCACACTAATGGGAAGGGAGGTGCCAGGCGTCACACTAATGTGAAGGGAGGTGCCAGGCGTCACACTAATGTGAAGGGAGGGTGTCAGGCGTCACACTAATGGCAAGGGTGGTGCCAGGCGTCACACTAATGTGAAGGGTGGTGCTAGGCGTCACACTAATGTGAAGGGTGGTGCCAGGCGTCACACTAATGGCAAGGGTGGTGCCAGGCGTCACACTAATGTGAAGGGTGGTGCTAGGCGTCACACTAATGTGAAGGGTGGTGCCAGGCGTCACACTAATGGCAAGGGTGGTGCCAGGCGTCACACTAATGTGAAGGGAGGTGCCAGGCGTCACACTAATGGGAAGGGAGGTGCCAGGCGTCACACTAATGGCAAGGGTGGTGCCAGGCGTCACACTAATGTGAAGGGTGGTGCCAGGCGTCACACTAATGTGAAGGGAGGTGCCAGGCGTCACACTAATGGCAAGGGTGGTGCCAGGCGTCACACTAATGGCAA